TAGATAGATAGATAGATAGATAGATAGATAGATAGATAGATAGATAGATAGATAGATAGATAGATAGATAGATAGATAGATAGATAGATAGATTCAAAAGGATAATCTAACCTCATCTAAAACCTCCATCTTCAGGGACCACCTGGACCTGTTGGCCCCGCAGGAAAGGATGGTTCATTTGGCCTTCCAGGACCAATTGGACCCCCAGGACCTCGTGGTCGCTCTGGAGATTCTGGCCCTGCCGTAAGTACCTGTCCGTTTTCTGGAATTTTTGGAACATTCGCTCATGATTAAAGCATAAGTCCCAGGTCCATTTGAAATTAAATTCTGTTTTTCTCACACTGGATTAATTATATATAGCATGATTCGGCTAAGCTTTAATGCCTCTTAGACGTTTTTTTCTCTGAGCTGAAGCAGTATTTTTTACACTGTGGCATCTCATTTATTCAAAATGTCTGCAGAATTTATTGAGAATAGTGTTTCAAAATGGTCATAGAAACAAAGGATAACCTTTGATTTCAAATGTTTGCAGCAACATATCCTCATATAGAGACTTCTCTTGGTATGTGATTTCATGTGATGAAATCTGAATTTCACTAGATATTTATCAAACATTTATCAAACATTTCCAGTTAGTATAGTATCACAACAGCAATAGAAAATATGAAAATGAATATTGTTATGGGAAAGTATAAGATATTATGATTACTATTTGATTATGCCATTACAATATTGTCATAGTTTTTATTGATACTAGTACATTATTACAACATAGTCACAAAAGATTCCGATGTCCTTAGATTCTTTTTCATTATTGATCCTTTCTGGTTTTATTCCGTAACTTTAAAGTATATGTTAAAATTGCGTTATAAAGATTTTATGTGAAAATCAAATAATCTAAAGTCTAGAAAAAAAGTTACAATTTTATCTAAACTAGGAGTGAACAAGAAAATAAAATTAAAATGAAAAAAGGGAAGGAGCAGCCACTATTACAGGGGCATGACACATGTATAAAGGGCCATTTTAACTATGTAAATCTTTACATCCCCCGGTTTTGTGTTTCAGGGTCCTCCTGGAAACCCTGGACCCCCTGGTCCTCCTGGTCCACCTGGGCCAGGCATTGACATGTCTGCCTTCGCTGGCTTGGGTCAGACTGAGAAGTCCCCTGATCCTCTCAGGTACATGAGGGCTGACCAGGCTGCTGGAAATCTCCGTCAGCACGATGCTGAGGTTGATGCCACGCTCAAATCTCTGAACAATCAGATTGAGAACATCCGCAGCCCGGAGGGATCCAAGAAGAATCCTGCACGCACCTGCAGAGATCTAAAGCTCTGCCATCCTGACTGGAAGAGCGGTGGGTGATGAGAGAAATGAGTTGAATAAGAGTAGAGCTGGAAATTCAGTTTTTGTAAAATAATGATTGGAGTAATATTTCATTATTGTTGTCTAGGAATGTTTAGTTTGATTTAGTCTGGAGGAGGTGATCTAGTCTGTCAGTAGAGATAGTAGGAAAACACAGTAAGTCAAAGATCTCTTCCTGGAGACTCATGTTTTGTTTTTATGCTTTGTTTTTTTAAACTGAAGGCGATTACTGGGTTGATCCCAATCAGGGTTGCACTGTAGATGCAATCAAGGTCTTCTGCAACATGGAGACTGGAGAGTCTTGCATCTACCCCAAACCTTCCAGCATCCCTCGCAAGAACTGGTGGTCTAGCAAGAGCAAGGACCGCAAACACGTCTGGTTCGGAGAGACAATGAATGGAGGATTCCACGTAAGTTGTCTTTCCTGCTTTAAATTTTGTGTTCTGATAGGAGACACCAAATCCTCTTCAGTGTCTTGACATCGACATTTATTCATCAAGTACATAGATTGATGAGTGAATAAAAAGACAGTTACCGACAATTATTTTATCATTACAGAGACGGATATGACTAATTTCACCAAAAGTTGTTTATCGTTAATGTAGTTTAGCTTTTACAGTTTTTTTCTTCAGTCTCAGCTTGGATGTTCTTGGTGTTGATTTTTTTAAATGTCATCTGACTGTTAGATATGCAACACAGTAAACTTTTAACAGTATCATCATCTCTCTGACTTTTAATCTTCCCATGCAGTTCAGCTACGGTGACGACAGCCTGGCCCCTAACACTGCCGCCATTCAGATGACTTTCCTGAGATTGCTTTCCACTGAAGCCGCTCAGAACATCACCTACCACTGTAAGAACAGCGTGGCCTATATGGATGAGTCAACAGGCAACATGAAGAAGGCTGTGCTGCTTCGAGGCTCCAACGATGTTGATATCAGAGCTGAGGGCAACAGCCGTTTTACTTACAGTGTCCTAGAAGATGGCTGCAAGGTAAGTCTATCATACCTGACTCACACAACTTTACAAGCTCATGCATATATAGTCTATTTTTCATTATATTATGTGGTTCTGGAGAAGTAATGGATCATTTAACAACCATTGTGGTATTTCCCTCTGCGCAGAGACACACGGGACAGTGGGGTAAGACAGTGATCGAATACAGGTCGCAGAAGACCTCTCGTCTACCCCTAGTGGACATTGCTCCCATAGACATCGGTGGAGCCGACCAGGAGTTTGGAGTCGATGTTGGGCCAGTCTGTTTCTTGTAAAGGAGGGGGGAACCGAGAAGAAGCAAAGAAGAAGTGGGAATTTAAAAAGAAATACAAATTGAAAGTGGAGCGTGCTTCAGGAAATGGAGAGAAAGAGAAAAATGAAAAATCAAGACACTTTTTTTAAAACGGGACTTTTCTAAATAAAAAGTGCTTTTCCAAGTCGAACTCCGTAGGATATCTGCACTGAATGACAGCAGCAACTGTCATTTGTTTTTCATCCAGCATTGCCTCCAGTCAGCTCTCCTTACCCCAAGGACACCCTCCATCCTGTAAAAGCCCCTCCATCACTCTTTTGAGATAGCAGTTCCTCTCCATTGACCCACGTCCATGAACAAATAGGAGGAAGTATGAGGACAGTACATGAACTTACCAGGGAAGAAGACAGACAAAAATGTGTGGGTTCTATTTATTTATTGTTTAGGTTTGGGTCCCAGGTGTGGTAGGAAAGGGTTTTGCAAAATAATAAAACGCCCAATAAAACAAAACTAAACTCATCCACCAACTTCTTCTCTTAATTCCTCCTTTTTTCCCTTCCTCATATCACCACCGTCTCATGTCCACTAAATAATACATATCTCTTTGAAACCAAAAATCTAGCCACATACAGCAGAGAGTGCAGGTGTTCCTATTTCTACCGCCACAGTGTGTATCAAAAATGACTGTGTATAATAATAAAATCAATGGTGCTATTGTTGTAAAACAGTTTCTATTTTTTAACAACCAGATACTCACACGTAGTGACTTGTGTATGTGTATATATATGTATATGCGTGTATACATATATATACAGTTTCTCAGAGAAAGCATTTTACCCTGCGACTTATGTTCTCAGGGTGATAAATGCCCCTGCTTTGACCCCCTCCTGCTTCAACTTCCTAACAAAATCACATGCGCCCAACATCGCCAACAAATTTATTATTTTCCATACCATTGTAGGCATTTTAAAGCTACCTCACACAAAAAAAAAGAAGAATTTCAACATTTTCTCCCCCAAAAATCAAATTTTGACAGTGTGATCATTGTGTCTGGTCAAGAAAAAGCCCAGTGTGCTGCCTCCCCATTAGTGGTGTCCTCTTCCCCATCTTTAAGTAGCCTCACAGAGGACACCCCCTCTGTTCTGTTCTGAACTTCTCGCCCAGGTACGAGAAGTCCAGCTCCGTCTGACAGATCCTCCAGCTTGACAGCCAGTGCAGACAGTTCATTTGTGTGAGGTTTTGTATATTTTATATTATTAATAATAGTATTATTATTAATAATAGCATGATGATTATTAATATCTTGACTTGTTTTTGTTGCGTAATAATTAATGTAAATTATAAATAAAAGACAAAACAAGTAACAGGCTGATACTCCCTTTTATTTATGTTCAGTTTTGTTTTCCCCCATGCTGAAGAATCTGGGGCAGCAGGTTTTCATTTTCCTGAAAAAAGAAAAGTCTCACCTAAACATCTCACTGTGCCTTATTTTCACCTGATACTTAGCTCAGATCCAAAGAAAAAGACACAGAGGAGAAGAACGAATGTTGGGGTGAAAACACAAAAATTGAGTTGAAGGAGGTGGTGAAGGCTTCGACAATATACCTGAATATGTAATATATATTTCTGAACATTTCCTCTAGCGCTAATGCATGGTAGAGTTGGTGAAGTAGAAATGGAAGCACTGCTAACCATGATCAGTTCTTTCTGTGACTTGATAATGTCTTCCTGTACCTCTGTTGCTTCAATTCATCTTTTTGCCTTTTTCAACCTACAGTAGCAATAAACTTTCACTTCTAAGCATTTCTATGAACATATTAGAGCAATGTTTCTTTTATTGTTTTACATATTTGTTGTTGTTTTTGTTTGTGTTTTTTCCTTGAAATGACTTTTGATAGTTTGTTTAATTATTTAATGTACTTGTTTCCAATCTGATACTTGATCCTTGTTTGAATCCTTTTTTGGTAAACAAACAGGAAAGTAAACAAATCACTGGGACAGAAATACATCACCAATAAAAAAAAAATACCCACAGATAAAACTGCACAGCAGACACGCTTGCTTTTTTAATTTTGGGTCCTCAGCATCCTCAAGCAAAATGTGGAATGTGATTCTATTTAGTGCAAAGATCAACTTTAGGAAAAGTAAACTGTGGCACAGTTTCAATTTATGATTTTCGACAAACAGCAACACAAAAATATGAAAGCTTACATCAATGTTGCCTCACATGTTTGTTTACAAAGTTTCCACCTTAATCTTCTTTAAGCCTGCGGTTACTCAACATATAACATTTTTAACTAATTCACAGCATGTGAACAAGACAGACTGCAACCGGTCTTTCATGGTTTACAAAACATGAACATCACATTTAGCATCACATTAAAGTACATAGAGTTAGCCCATTATAAGTTCTCTCCACAAACCAATTATTATTATATATATAAAAAACTGTTAAACTATTAATATTGTTTTTAACTATGCTTCCCTTATTTTAGTCTTTACCCAATTAGAAACAGGGGGGCTCTCTTTCAAGATTTCTTTTTTCTGCATGAATAAATTACATATAGCTGTATCACTAAACATTAGTGTTGACAGGAACAGTAAAATGAACACAATAACACATTTGTGACAATACAATTTGTCTTACCAGTTTTTAATTTTAGTCCTTAGAGTAAAAGACATTTCTGTTTTTTCAATTCGTGAGGTTTGGGAACTTGATTTTGTGGCAGCTCCGCTGATCCAGTAATTCACAGATAGTAAAACATTTATTTTTTTAAATACATTTTTAAAAGGGAAATTTTAAAAGATTAAATATAATTTTGTTTATTTGTAGATTCAATTAATCCTTAATTATCTCAAAACCCTGTTGGAAATGTTGTCCTTATTACGTCTTTAAGTTTGCTGAATAATCAAATGGAAGAGGCTTTTTCCGTAAAAAAAAAAAAAAGGAAAAATGTATTTATATTTATTCATTATATTTATTCATAGCCCATTAAAATATATTGAATGTGTCTGGTAATCCTATCAGGTTTAGCTCCACATGTGCTAGAAAGCAAGTAAGGATATTCAGGATAATCAAAATGTTGCAATGGAGAAAACAACTTAATTTCATATCAAATGATTAGCTTTTTTCACAGCAGTTTGAAAAACAGAATTAATCAAGGCTGTGCCTGTGTGGAAAATCAGTACCCTAAAAAGAAACAAATGAAAAATAGTTTACAGATTAACAAACAGCTTTCCTCGAGATAAATGACAGCACCACAAATCTGGCCCCCAATCGAACTGACACTTTTCTGCCTTGATAAATTAAACATACCAGCTTGTATGTCGATGCAGCTATCCAAATATTTCAGACCTCATTGCTGCAGCTTGAACACAAAATAGTTCACCTCTAGGTCCAACGGAGTAAAATTAGATCCGCAGCTCTCCACGAGCATCCCGATACATGGTGTAATATCAGTGAATCAGGGAAAGACATGAATGACATCTGTGAAGAAAATCAACAAGTAAAAAAAGGCTATTTCTGTGCACATAAATACCACATGTGCCCACGCAATCCAAGCTCAAAAGAACAAGCAATTAGAGGAGGGCACACATTGGAGATGCACACCTGACAAACACACTCCAACTGATTATTGCCTTTCAAGTGTTCATTAAGCGTCACATGGTCAATGTCTCCTAATTAGAGCTTAATGAAGGATAAAAGAGGAGAGTAGGAGATGTGACGGGAGAAGAAAAGGAGAGACTACAAAAGGAGACAGAAGGTTAACAAGTTCAAATAACCTTTTTCTTTTTAGATCTTCACTGCTGCTACACTATTTTAATTGTCTTATTTACTCAGTACACACACACAAGTACTTCACATTTTTTTTATTAAAGCTGAGAACAAATTTGCTGGAAAAAAAAAGATTTAAAAAACAAATGGAAAGAAATATCTCAGTCAGACTGCTGTCAATAAGTTAGTGTAAGCTTTTTTTTTTTTCCCTGTGTCAGCGTCTCCCACACTTTGTTTACACAGTCACGTTCCATACAGGTGGCATGTGGTAATCGTTTTCAAATGACATCAGAAACCAGTGCTTAGAGTGTCCGTCTCTGTGGGCACCTTGCGTGGGCTGGGTAAACTCTTCAGATACTCCAAATGCCTGCGGGCTTCCGCTTGGTTCTGCCTGACGTAGTACACGACGTACACGATGACCATGAAGAACCACACGAACATGGTCACCAGCATGGCCACATCGGTGGTCTTCCTCTGAAGGCTGCAGAAGTTCACCCCGGAGTCCAACAGCTTGACCAGCGGCTGACCGGCGTGCTCCCCCTGCGACCCGGGGTCGTCCCACCTGCTCCCCTCGCCCACGCCGCGCACCGAGCTCTCGCAGACGATCCCGTTCACCGTCTCGGGCTCCAGGTTCAGCGTCTCCATCAGTTCCTGGAGGGCGCAGTCACAGTGCCAGGGGTTGTGGTAGAGGCGCGTTTTGGCGCGCGTGGAGCCGAACTCCTCCCTGCCGGCCTGCCTCAGCTGGTTGTGCGAGAGGTCCAGCAGGCGCAGCTCGGGCCCCAGGTGCCGCAGGGCCCCGGTGGCCAGGGAGTCAATGCGGTTGTGAGACAGGTACAGGTCCCGCAGGTGAACCAGGTGGCCGAAGGCACTCTCCGGGATGTTCCGGATGTAGTTGCGTTCCAAATGGAGGGAGACCGTCTCCGTGGGGATCCCCTCTGGGATCTCCCGCAGCCCGGCGTCCGAGCACAGCACGGTGGCCGTGTCCCAGGAGCAATGGCAGCCGTCCGGGCACTGAGGGGTCGCTTGACCCCACAGAGCCGCAAACACGAAGAACATCCGCAACCATGAGTAAAGAATCTGTCCTTTACCTCTCCGCCTTTCTCTTCCTCCACTGACGATGGCACATTTCTCCTGACACCAGCCTGTGCACATTGCCTCACCATAGCCCCCCGACACACATCAGGTCCCGATCAGACTCGCACCATTGCACCAGAAGAATCTGACAGATTGCAAGAAAAGGGGTCAGTCTGGAGAACGCGTCTTTGTTAGTAAACCTATAAATGCATGCAATTAAAAGGAGGCTGAAGAGATGAACTTAGCTAGGGTTTATCCCATAAAATGATACACCAGAACAAACAGACACAGTACAGAAGCTATTTAAAAAAATCATTCCTAAGCAGGGAAACTGTCTTTTGACCTGCACATTGCTCAGTAACTAATTAAAATCTACATGCCAAATTTGGACTTTCAGAGAAGGCATCAGCCTTCTTTAGAAGCATTGATTTTCAGTGATTTGCCTGATCTAATCACAGCCAAAGCAGCAATAATAACCGTTTAAGTGCTCTAATAACCCTTCTTGCCTTTCTTCAGAAGGATATAAATCATGAGATGTGATTATTGCAACTCTTCCCCACCTCATTCACGATGCGCCCTTCCAGAAGCCCAAATTCAGGACCAGGAGAGAGGCTTCATATTAAGCTGATCAATACCTGTTCATCTTATAAACTCCTCTATTCATTCTCCTATGATACCACAGTCCCTTAATCATGTTCCAAGGGTGAGTAAGGGGGAGCTGTATAGAGACGGAGGCTGGAAAAGAGAGGGATCAATAGCCCAAGCATTGCCTGTTCCACTATTAAGGACACGAACATCAATCCTGTCTGAGTTCCACAGTGTCAATGAGGGGGAAAAAATACCCAGTCGTAGTCTGGATATTACCATCTGCTCCCCACTCCAGCAGTTAGGGGTAAAGTTGTAAAAAAAAAAAAAAAAGGCAGTGGGAAGACTCTATCAAACATGTGCAAAACTACTGTGGGATGTGTTACATATGCTATATAAGTTGAAGTATTTTTAAAACCCGAGTCTCGTCTGTTTTCCTGTCTATGTTGTGTGTGTGTGTCTGTGCGTGTGTGTGTGTGTGTTTAACTAGCGCAGGTCTGCAGATGTGTCGTTTACTCAGGCAATCCAATCAGGTTTTCTAGAACATTTTTGTTTTCCTGAGAAAAGTACAGCCTTTTGGTGCTATACTCTCAGACAGAAATCACAAGAGACTGCTTAAACTTGATTAGAAGACTATCTTCTTAAATGTCAAGCACCTTCTCCTTTTATAATGAAATCAAAACTGCCATGTGTCTCCCCTCCTCTGGATAGTCAGAATTCACTGAAGACGTCAAGCCCAGACTTACAGAGTGGCCTAGATTTGGCTGATATGCCCAAAGGAGACCGGGTTACAGCTCTGTGATGCCCATCAAGTGGCCCTGTGCGTCTCATAAACTGAAGTGGGGATTTGTGCACCACTCATGTCCATTATTAACATACTGAATGTGATGCATGCAAATCCCTGATTAACAAAATAATCATGTGCTGCATGAATAAGAATGGGAATGAGGAAGCGAGCAAAGAAGAGGCTCCCAAAGCAGATGGAGCATTGATTCTATTTATTTTAATTTATTTCTTTTTCCCCCACACATTCTTTGGGGAGAGGATACAAGTTTTAAACCGAAGTCATTCCGGACACCCTAATGTTTGGAAAATAACCTGCAGATCATTCAAAACGTCGTATTGTATTTAGATTACAATTCGTTCATCTGGGTGAAAGCGGTCATCTGGACACTCCAAAGCTTCTAACATCCGGATTACAGCTTCATCCGTTTGTTGCAATAAAGCACAAATCTGTTTTCTGCATCCTTTCGCAACTTTGAAATGACAAATATTGTGTTTATCTGCAAATCATTTCCTCTTCTCGCACTACAGGCTTCACTTATAAATACAACAGGAAAAAAAGAGGAAACGCATTCTCAAGTATAGAAGGACCTTGCAAAAAATAAAACAAATAAATGCGAATATTACTTCTGTTTCACGCAATCTAATTGAGAATAAACATAAAACATTAGCGAAATAAACTCACCTTGTAATTGGTTTCTCATCAAGTTTCAATCCAGTTTTTTCCTCCGGGTTTGTCGGAGCGGTAGACAGGACACAACCATCCTTTGCAAGATCGCTTTATGCTTTAAAAACAAGAAAAAGCCGCTGAAAGAAGCAGCTTTGCTCCGTGGTTAGTCGCTTGCGGACGGTTCCATCGCTGGATGTGTCGCCGGTTGAGGCGGTTGTAGCATAAAAGATGTGGGACAAACTCTCTCTCTCTCTTTCCATCTCTCCCTCCCTCCCTCCCTCTCTCTACAAACACAAGGGTGTGCCATCATCACCTCCTCATGCCCTCGGCATCAATCTTGGTTTTCTAAGAACAGGCAGGTTACCACCAAGAGCTCTTAACTTAATTACCTTTTGGTATAATTAAATTCTTGCATTGTCCCCCCAAAACGTGATTTAATCAAATACAGGCACACAGATGTCACATTTTTTTATTAAATATTCAAACTTCCATCCAAGCATTTTTTGTTGCTGCCTCATTCACTGGTCGTTTGAGCTCATTTTGCATATCTAAAATTTGTGATATGCAAAACAGGAAAAGGATTCGTGTTTGGCTTCTACTATAAAGACATGGTCCCATTAAATGGAGGATTTGCAGTTTAGTACAAAATTCATGTGGATCTTTGAAGGACCGGGCAGGGAATGTGTTTTGGGAAGAGGGAGTTCCTCTTTAAGTCTGCCATATAGTCTCAATGCCAAAACTACCAACTGAATGCCAAGATTCAGAGAACTGTTCTGGTGGTAAACAGCTGTCATCAGCCTTCTAGGAAACCGTGTTCATTTGTTCTGTAAGAATTCAAGCCATTTGCTACAGTACTTTAAGTTTTACTCTTTATATTTTTCAACACTTTTCCATTTTCTAGGGAGAGGAGATAAGCTTTAAATAAAGCTACTTCCTGGTACCTTAATGTTTCAAAAAACCTTGAATAGGGTGTTCTTTACTGTACCACAAACATCTGACAACACAAATAGTCACTTTATAGGTTTAGACATATATTCACTTGTCTGGAGCCGTAAAAATGATTGTTGTGAGGGAAAAAATAGTAGCAAATATTTTAGCGTCTAATATCTAAGGCGTTTACAGGGGACTGCTCTTTAGTAAGTCCTACTAACCTGATCGAATGAAAGACTGATCTTTTTAACCTTCAGTCAAAGGGTTGAACATGGAGAACGCCAGGCACCACTCACGGGCTGCCAAATGCCGTCCAAAATGTGACGTGTGCACGCTGTGGGGCTGTTTCTCAGCAGCAGGGACAGCTGGCTCAGCCGATCAAAGTACAGAAACATTTCTCAAACTAAACCTGCTCCAGAGCACTTAGACCTCAGTCTCAAGTGTCACTTTCTGACAACAGGGATGGAGAGAGGGGAAAACAACACAGGAATCACTAAGTGATCACTCTAAAAAATTCCACATAACAGACAGTAGTGGCTCCAATGAGAGCCTCGGCCTATTACTGAGTAACGGGTCTAAAGACATTTGTCATTTTAATTCAGTTTTTCTTGTATATGGATTTCATATGGCGAGGGAGAATGCCCTTCCTCCACACTCCCCTCGTTTTGTCCATGCTTTGAATTGGAGGTCAATCAGAGACAGACATCAATTGTAACAGTGCACTGAGAGCCGCTGTATATTAAGTTAATAATGAAGATTGACTTGGACAAGCATAGCTACAAATCCATTAATTTACAAGCACGGGAGAGGATGGACACTCTCCAACCTTGAGTCTTATACACAATATTTCCAAGTGAAAGCATGGAAACCTACAGAGGCATGAAAAAGTATGTATGTGAAATGTTCTCTGGGAACAATAGCCTTATTCTTTCCTATATATATATATTTTTTTTACCATAAGGAGCAAAAATATTGACCCCTCTATAGCAGAGCCCCCAGGGGGTAAAAGGATTGGTCTGACAGCCATGGTGGCATCGTCTATCCTTCCACCGCCACCCCAGCATGTCCTGCTCTATTAGCATGCTAAAACCTGTGACATTTTCACTCCTGGCAAATATTATGCAGAATGCTGCATCTGTAATGTATGTTTGTCCCACTATACAGATGGATTTTTGTGTGACTGTCATGTCCTTGGCAGCATGCCGTCTCCATGTCTGCCACAGACGACGACTCAGACAATATGACTTTTTTTGTAAGGTTAAAAACAAACGGGTGAACCATGAGAGAACATGAGTGCAGAGAGAAAGACCCCTGAGTGCCAAAAACACCACGCTTGTCTTTTTTATGGTAGATACTAGAGTGAGAATAATGATGATGGGGGACATTTTCAGGTAGGAATAACAAAAATGATGAAAAGTTAATGAAGCATACGGGTAACAGTAGTTTGTCAGTGTTGGCAGTCCAATGAAGTCATCATCTGTTTGGCTTGGCAGTGATCCTAAAAAAGGGAAACTGAAGTAATCTTATGCAAATTTACAAAATGATGAAAGCATTGGCAAAGATCTTAGTCAGTCTGAGAAATCTACTGCTCCAGGTCATGAAATTCATGTACAATTGAAATTTTCATCAAAAATACAATATATATATATATATATATATATAAAAGTGTGTGTGTACACATACATTAAAAAGTCTTTACTGGGTTAACAAGGTTGTCAGCAGTTTTGTACTGAATACAATTTGTATTGAATCCACTGGCAACAGGTCAGTTTGAGGGCAGGCGTTCTGATGAGGATCTCAGTTGCTTTTTTCCCCCCCAAGATGGTCAAACGGTACCTACCAGGGCCAGAGTCGTCTAAAAAACCTTTAAAATGCTTCCGACCAAGGACAAACACAAGGTTTGATTTGTTGCCGTGTCATTAGAAAGTACAGCACAGATGGGGGGAAAAAAAAATCTTCCTGCTGACAAAACAAAGTACTAAAACAATTTTGCTTTGTAAGTAATGTGTCTGACAGGAAAGAATTTAAAAAATAGCCTGGAGTAAAATAAATAAATAAAATAAGAGTGTTTTGGAGGACGCTTTCAGTAAAAATAAAAGTGTTCTCCCGTGTGCAGCAATCAGGCAAGTGTATTTGATCATATGGTCCAGTCTGTTCATGCATGGGTGAAGGGGTGACTAGAAACTAAAATCAATACATATTTGGCTGCAAGTCAGTTTTTCATCCTTTCAGATTGATGTTTCTCTCAGAGCATCTCCAATTACATCACTATGATGAATTCACCTCTATATTCTGGCGCATCCTGCTTCGTTCAGTGAGATAAACTGTGAAAAATGGTTATCGTTTGCATTTCCGCAAACAATACAACATAGGTTGGCAGCAATTACACTGAAATACGTGACTATATCAGGCCGTCACAGAGGCCTATAGATTGGATTGAGCATTTGGCACCATTCCAGCACAGGAGAGAGCAAAGTAATAACTAAATGTTTTTGTTTGTATGCATCTGAGACAAAGGTGGATTAAAACAAAAATTATCAAACAAAAAAGAAAAACGCATATAGCAGGTGAACTTTCAGATAAGAGTGAGAAATTGTGATAGAAACAATAGAACAATATATGATAGAGATTATAATTATGTTATATTTCTTGCTTTACAGGCATCTCATGTCTGCATTTCAAAGCAAGTTTTAATCTTCTTACATATATGGATTAGGATTACGTGGTTTAAATAAGAAATATGAATGCCAACAAACGGACAGTATGATGTGACAATTACCATTGACCATAAAAAAATGAAGAAAACCTCTGTGTGCAGCTGTTTTTGTCTCCACTGGGGCATTTTCACTATGACACCGGTTTTGCACAATGAAGTGGGAAAAAAAATAAAATCCAGGGATTAAATTCAAGCAATATACTCTATACAGCAAGAGCAGAAGAAGGTCATACTCATGGAAATGGCAATACAGGAGGAATAACAGATAGAGCTACGGGGAAAAATATCTGGAGTTTTAATGAGAACATTCAAAGTGCATCCCCTGACTTTATTACTGGGATATTGCCTATGCCGGTAGCCTTGTCACGACACTGGTTGCCACAAGGAGCATCTCTTTGTGAAGGCTGTAAATTCAGTGTCTTTGAAATAATAGACCCTCATTATTGACACTTTGATCTTGCAGCGGCGTAAGTAGCCTCGGTGCCTTTGTTGACTGTGGTTAATGTCAGCAATGCTGGAAATGAAAGGTTGAACCACTGTCTAGGTTTCTATATAATCCCTCCTTGAAAGGTGAAGGCTGTGATATTCACATGCTTTGAACACTGGAGCTGGTCCATTAGATGGCTCCTTATTTACTGGGCTGAAAGAGAGATACTAGGAGAGACTCGGAAAAACAGTATGTTTACTGTTGAATTTACTCAGTACTGAATACAAATGACCACAATGTAATCCGCAATCAATTTCTATTGAAAGTTACAACCAAAAAGGGATATTCAGTTACAAGAGCAGGTAGAGGACATCACAACATGGTCATCCACAGCGATTCAGTGCAGTATTTAGAGATTGTTCTGATCTTATTTGGCTGCAATTTCCATTCCATCCCTCTTCCTGCACAGCAAAACAAATCATTTTCAGGCTGGCTGGTGCGTACAATCTGTGTAACATTATCCTTGCAATTCTATCTAAACACTGACTGATGGATGAAGCCATTTGCCGTCCTGTTTAACAGGTCAGCTGTTTCCGTTTGCTGGAGATTGCGCGGCAGCCTGCAGGGTCCTTCTGGCCATCTCCAAGGCTCCTTCCTGGGTCTTGTTCCCGCCAATAAATCCTCCGGCGTGGACGAAGATGCAACCCTTAATCCCGCTGAGCTCTGACAGTGCCTCATCTCGCACACCGCGCCAGTCTTCCAGCAGGGACAGCCTGGGAAAGGAGGACATAAAAGTAAGCTAGGTAGCAGATGGACACCATGTTGTAAGCTGCTCACTTCCTGTTGACATCTTTTTTTCTGCGGGACACACTGTGCTGTGCACCCGAGCAGAAAAGAGCCACGGACACATGCCAGAGATCAGGAATAACATCAATCAGAGATAGGTAAAGGAAAAGGTCATTCAAAATAGGATGGAGGACTAGGTACGCTGATGATTTGTGTACGTATTTTCTATGTTGTACCCTGCAAATAAAGTGAGTGATGAAATTTGCAAATAAATTGAATTTATTGACATTTTCTGCTTTTATTCTACATAGCAACTTTTTGAAAAGGGCTTTTTGTATAACTTTAAACAAAAGAAACTGGATGTTTATTAAAATGAAGAATAAAAAGACATTATTAGCTGCTGCATCATCGACATCTTAAGTATGTACCCATTTAAAAAGAACAAAGGCATTCACTAACACTGAAATTGTTTCAAAGTAAATTATACAATTATTCAATTATCTCCAATTTTACACAAAAACGTGGATTATTACTCTTTTTCCAGTTCGGTGACCAGCCATCCAAGGGCATCCTCAGAAGCCCTTGTGCTGAGAGAGACAACCACCAGCACCAGCAGAGAGAGCTTCCTCTTTCTTCTCCAGCAATGTGGAAAATCACAAGTCAACAAAATGGCAGGAGAGAACATTCTGCGGCTGCCAAGTCAATAAGTAATTTCATAAAGGTTAGCTCTGCTAAGGCTCATGAGCTGACCTCAACAGAGTCTCTGAATGTGGTGCACAGTTCACAAAAATGTAGAGCAGGTCATTCACAACCTTCTGCGTGTGGCACGTGTCCGCTGACACCAGCCTTCACTACTGGTTAGCCTCTTATCTTGTATCTTTACGCGAGCACACTTCTCAAAACATTGTTAAATCTATAAGAGTTGCACTCTGATTTACATTTGAGTTGTCACTCAATTTCAAATATACTTAAAATGGCTTTCAAGTTGAATAAAAGCTACTTCAACATTTAACTTTTTATTTTAAAAAAGCCCCACTGTCTTAACACGGCTCTCTCTTTTTGTCAAATATGTGATGAATTATTGAGGTGCATGTTATGTCAGAAATGTCATGCTTGTCAAACAAGGCTTCAGATTGAAGACAGGAACGTTTGTTTTGTTTTCTAAATAAAAAATTCCACATCTCGGACATCCTACACCTCTTGAATAAAACACTACACCTGCTGTACTCAGCTGTATGACGCAGTCCCTCTTCAGGAACCATGTTGAAACACCAGCAAAAACATGTGATTATTCTCCATGCCATTATGTCCACATAATGATGCACCCATTATCACCGTCACATGACAACCTGGGGTGGAGAGCACAGCAAATCTACTGTATAATCCCTAGTAAGGAATCAGCCAATCGATCACCCCACAGTGCGACTGGAAAATTAGCTGGGAGGAAAGGTCAACAGGGCTGGTAATGAGGGAAGGAGTAGGAGGTGGATGATTGCTGTTGTTGTCATCGCAGGCCAGGAAACTCACATTCTTGGGATGACTGTTCTATAAATGAGATTGCAATTAGCTAATTAACGCCTCATGGAAACAGACCCTCAAACCATCCCTCAGATCATAACCGAGACAGATACTATGAGTAATTGCTCTTTTAGAAAATAATAATAACGATAATAATAAAGTCACTTATGGAGGTTTGCCAGAAGCAGGAGAGAAGTAATCATTAGCAAAAAAAAAAACACATGCAGTCAGCGACTTTATGCTTCGCATTGTGGTTCCGTAACCTCTCTGGTTACGGTTACGGTTACAGGGCAGGAGCTACATTCAGTTCGGCCACATATAAGAGGGACAGGGACGCATCTGTATCTTCACAAACATACTCGTAAACATTCAGACTATTACAGCTCTTCAATACGAAGGATCCTCTTTTCAGAGTCTAAATGTTGGAGAAATGTTGGTTCAATTCTGTTTGAAGTATAGGTGCAGGCTGCCTTCTGCCATCGACTTAACAGGGCGAGAGTAAGCGGCGCCATTCGCATTTGAAAGCTATAGATGTGATTGCACAACATTAGGCTGAAGAAATTCTCGATGCACATCATACAGCACATTCTGCAGGCGTCGGCACCGGGAACGTGAGAAACAGCCCGAACAAATGCACGGAGACAGATCCATCACGGGAACAGTGGGGAATGATTGCTGAAGCCTTTCGATTGTCAATCTAGCCAAGTGAGGACCAAGAGGAGGATGTTTTCTTTACAAAGTCATAAAATCGTTATGGGTGCACTTAGCAAGAGCAGATTCAGAGATGCTCAACATGCATAGTGACAAGCTAACTCGGAGATGAGGCGTGTAATGTCATATGTGGAAGAGGTGTGGTGGCATGAGCCAAGCGCAGTGAGTCACTAGTGTTTATAGATGATGTGACAGACGGTGTGCAAGGATAAACTAACTGCCAAGATTCAACAGAGTTGCTGAGACTGAGCTGCATTTAAACTGCTGAAGACAAAAGAAAAAGAAAAAGATCCTTGAACAAACAGCAACTAAGGACAGAAGCATGAAAGGCATCTTAAAGACACCTGTTTTCTGTCTGTGATGTTCACTGCCTTCAAACCTTGGGCAAGAGTTGCATCAAATCATTAAAAAGTCATATTTAACATCCGGTTGAATTAGGTTCTCATCTAGGCCAACAGGGGGAAAAAATTGTTCTACAAATAACTTAACTGTAACCTGAATGTGGTGTGGTAAACGGCTAAATGGGTAAACACAGGGGTGTTGAATTTCCGGCAGCTTGGTATCATGGGCACCATTTCCAAGCACCAGCTCTTTTTTTTTTTTTTCAAACATTCACACACTGAATAGCAGACGGCAAGTGGAAAAAGGACAGAAATTTGCATAATTGTATCACTTTTGAGGAACATAACATTAAAATAAATCAATCTGTTCCTTTTGTCACCTATGTTCTGTAAACTTTTGTCATGATTTTAATCTAGTTGACAAAGCATTATGTGTGTAAAGATTAATCATATAAATAATGTAAAGGTTAGTCTTGTAAAAGGCAGCTGTGACGGACATCCGTCATTATTGTCTGTCTTTTATTTTACCAGATTACCTTTTGTCCAAGAGTTGGAAAGAACAAGTAATAAAACATTCAGAAAACCCCACATCCGTTTCAGCTCCGCACAGGGCTACTACAGATAGCCGCCGGCGGCTATTTTCCCTGAGATAAATGTAGACATTTCTGGTTCAAATCCTGCCTCTTTCAACCTATAGTATTACTCTACACAGCAGATCTCTAAGGAAGGAATGCTATCACTCCCACCTTCCTTCTCTCAGCTCGCATTTCCTTAGCAATGTAATGCAGATAAAAATAGACCCCTTTCCCCTCAGGTGCAGTAGCAGGGATACAGGCGATAACAACACCCCTTTTGCAGAGTCGGCATAAGCCTACTGGGAGGAAGCAGGCCACCCAGAGAAAGAGCCATCTGGAGCCATGTTTTTATCCATCTCACAAGCTGTTGTTCACATGTAGCTCCCCAACAACCGGTATGTTTAAATTAAATCCAATCTTTTGAGGTGTGCCCTGACCATAAACAGATGCCTGCCTTTTTTGTCCAAACGTGCTGCCGCCTGATGAGATTCTCCAGCGGTGTGGAAGAAAAGTTGATCAGAAGGCGAGAGAAAGATGGAGGGTGTGAAAGGTGAGACACGAGAGGGGCAGGGTGAGGGAGGGGAGGAAGAGCTGTTGAAGGAGAGAAAACTAGGATTGTTGGGAAGAGAGTACGACAGACAGGGAAAAGTTGTCAAATTTAACAGGGTTACCGTGGGTTGGCTATATGGTGGAAGCAGAGAAACAAAAACTGGACAGTTACAGAAAAGGGAGCTTATGGAAAGAGGTGAAAATAAAAGATAGAACATATCACCAGCTGGTCAGGCCAGGAGAGTCAAAAAGCTATTCCACCTTTCCCCTGTGTCTGTGGGCATGATGTGCTCAAAAGGTCCCCTACTGCTCTCAAGCTACCCACAATCAGTAATGAGAACTGTGAAAGCTGGAAAAAAGAGAGAAAAAAAGAAGAAAAAACCCACACCAGGGCACATTCTGTCATAGGTAACAAGACTTAAAGCCCAGGCGCTTTGGAGGACTTATGCTTGAGATGAGACCTCATTGTCACATTAGTCTCTCTAAGCTACTAGGCAGATCTTTCAAGGGGAAAATGAAAAAACGGCAAACCCGCAACAGCTGTCACAAGTAAAAAGCCCAGAATGATTTAGTTTTCTGTTTATCTTGAATTCAATTTATACATTTAATGCAATTAATGGCAAATCAGACTATGACCAGCATAGTGTACTTCCACAAAGTAAAATCCTGCTGAATCCTTAAAAACTGCCGTGCAAGTAAAACAATTTTTTTTCAATCACTTGCTTTGCCAAAGTCTATATTTTTCAATTCTGCAAGACCTCAAAGACTTTCAACGGTCAAATTCAAGCTGGTTCTTCATTTGAAACAATTACAGAAAGTGGGCTACATTAGTCATTGAGGTCAGAAAACACTATAGATTCACTCTAAACATGGTAAATCCAGAAGGTAAATATTGTCACGATGTCGAAGTAGTATAAGCTATGATTTAAATTAAACAAATGAAAGAACAATAGCCATCAAGCTAAAGAATAAGACTGTACTTCCTAAAAAGAGTTGAAGATCACCTTGCTCTCTAGAGGTTGAGCAGGATTGGGCTTTATGCTGAGCCGATTTAGAAACATAACTTACAGTGTGAACATTTCTGTTGAATGATATTGTGTTTTTATTTCTAACATTATGGGGAATTCTCTCTATGACACTCTTTAGAAAAGCTGTTTGGGGCTATTAGAATTCATGTGAAGCATTTCTTTCGCAATATAAACTTCAATTTGATGTTAATGAAACATCCCAATATAATAATTCAGTAGCGGGCGGAATGACTAAATAAAGACGGCAGATAATGAGGTAGAATTTACCCCTTCTCATCCATTGCTACACAATTTAAATAACCTGGATTATTTCTATTCAATGAGGAAAAAATATTTTTTTAGAACTGTATAAATGAGGACAAAATACTATTTTTTATTATACTATTTTTTTTTTATTTACCACGTTCCATCCTGGAAGGACTGTAACGTGAACATAAAAATGAAAAAAGGACTCAAATCTCCAGAACTTCATTAGTTATATACGGACAGCCCTGCTGCCCTTTGCCTCGCTAATTCTTCAAAGTATTATCTGCCATCATTTTCACAAATCTACATAATGGATCTGGATTGATCTTATCACGTCTTATTAAGTTTACTGTTTAACAATTCCAGCTCATGAGGGACAAACACAGCATGCCATATTTGACTACGTTCTGCCATCTCAGCACTAGTCTCCAAATGCACATTATTAACCTTCAGTACACAAACGTCCCACCTAGAAACCCGATAAGCAGCATTAAATATAAAATGTTAATTAACTGTCCCTGATGACCGACAACGGCACATTCATAGGGTGCAGCACTATTAGTGTTTCTTCTTTTTTACTCGCACAAACCGTCTTGGGTGGAGTGTAGATACCAGCTGCAGGGAGCAAATAGATAACATTTTCATTTAAACGTTTATTGCGTTAAGTCTAATTAACTACAGCGGATATAATCTGCTGCTGCTGAAGTTTATTATTTTCCCACAGCCAGGTTCAAATGAGCTGCCTGCTACCTGCAATGTGTCTTAGGGAAATACGAGAGCAGATTTTTAGCAGCTGAGGACGTCTGGTTCTGATGGACAATCGAACCAAAATGTTTTTTATTGACCAAACAGATGCAGCACTGGAGAAAGTGAGCAGAGGAATTAATTTGATGCCACTCGATGGCTCCAGGACTTGTCATTAGAGAAGCACTGTGGGTTTAACTGAGATGCTCACCAGGTGAGAAATTGCCATCCAGAGGTGAGAAACCCAGGTTAGGTTTCATTCATCTGACAAATTCACAAATGGGATATTTTTTTTATTACCTTCATTCTCCTAACATACTGACTGACAAAACAAGAATACTAATATGGTGATACAGGCATTGACGATGCACTGTTCACTCAAGTTGTAAGCTTGAGGACTCAAGACCTCATTTCTGCTAAGACATGTAGAAATGTTTAAATCAGCTGCAGGGGCTCGTGCATGTGGTACGGGGAGATAAATGCGTAAGCCACCGGCATATGTCACATGTATTACACAAACACAACATCTGGGGAAGAAAAATACATAAATTAGCATTTATATTAAAATGAAAAATCCACAAAAGTAATAAGAGAAGAAAAAAGCAGTAAAGTTTAAGAAATCAACTGGGGGGAGTGTAAATGAACTCGGATACTTCCATGGACCAACAACACCTCAGTGTACCTTCTCTGTGTCGCAAAGAGATAATAAGGTAGGGGGCCTTTCTTTCTGGGTATAGAGCAGTGGTCATCTGGACAATCAAATGGCAAAAGAAAAAGGAGCGCCTTGGCCCTGACAAAGGAAACGAAGGGGTTAAGTGCATGTAGAGGAAATGGAAAATGTACATTCAAAAGGTTTGACCTGACATTTAAAGTGTTGCAGATGTCAATCCAATTGAATATCCCTGGCATCAGCTGGGGCCATCTTTCCTCCTCTGTCTGCATGAAATAATTGTTTCTGGTCTACCTAAAAACATTTTTTCATAAAAAAATTTCTCTTGATCGCTGCACTTATTTAAAATAATGTAAGCACTCTAAATTGTATTTCTGTTTTGAGGTGGCTCTAAGGAGATGATGGTGTACCAGACTGGACTCAGGATTTCCCATCGGCCTACATTTAACAGACATCTCTGGCAAATATAAGGAGAGACTGTAAATAAAAGGATCTGGAAAATAGGGATCTTGCCAGCTTGAAGCACTGGGTCTAATTAACAACAGGAAGGCAAAAAAGAAACACCTGAGTAAGAGGTGTGCATGGAAAAAAAAGAAAAAAAAAGCTCAGGTGGCTCTGATGAGGTGTTGGGTGTGTTTACATCTTTCAGCTCCCTGGAGAGCAATACGGGAACAAAAGCGCTGAAGGAAAAGAGTATCACCTTCATTCCACAAACAAGCGTTTTTATCCTGGAGGAGCTCGGCTCTCACTAGATGGAACGTGCATCCTAAACGAGGAGCTGTCAAATGGTCCAGTAAGCGTGAAAGTTAAATCATACGGCATGGTCGTCCCTGTCACAAGCACTCAACTCAATTCCACACATGTGGAACGCTGATGTGGATGCGGCTGCAATTTGAGGAAATTTCCCATGTGGACTCCGGGTCACAACCTTCCTGCAACGGTAACTTCTGCAAAGTGTTCAAGACGCTTTTACAACCGCAAGCTGCACTATGGAGAGCAAAAACAACTGCGGGCGTACCTTCAATAAAAGAAGACATAAACTAATCCCTGATGAAAAAAACCCACCTGTTCTGGAAGGTGTTGAGCCCTGCAGGCACACACTGGACCCGCCACTGACCGTTCTGGTCTGGGTAGAGAACAAACTTGATAGGGGTCTCCACCTGAAGATCTTTCTCCAGAGCAAACAAATGCTCCTTCCATGGACACCCGCCCTGAGAGAACAACACTATTTCCCCACTGGGGTCAACCTGGACACAAGAATGAAGGATGGGGATAAACAAGGAGAGTTTTCAACTGTGGGAGAAATGAAATCCCTACTTTTTTTTTGTTTGTTCTGTAATTTTAGAGATCGATTACCATACAGTATAGAGGAAAGTATACAAATGCCAGATAATGCCTTTAGTTTTCTTGGCATAAAATACATACTGTAACTACAGCCTAACTTATTATGTTAAAAAGAATCATCTGATCCGCTGTGCGTCTTGAAGACGCGTGACAGGAAGAACCATCTGTGTCTCACAATCCATATGGTTACTTTTAACAAAGTCAGTGTGAAGACGAACACAGGCATTTTTTAATGATCAACAGAAATTAAACTTCCCTCCAGCAGTTGGGTTTTCTGCCTCCTGTCTGCAATGTGGCTTTGAGAACTTCTTGTGTTTTACCTGCAAGTCTCATTCATCTATATAAGGAAGAGCTCTATTCAACACTAATTGGAATGAGATGCAAACTGCTGCTGATGGATTTAAAAAGCAACACAACCAAAGCTGTCACCTGATGTCTCTCCTTCACTGCCTCTTCCACAACCGCCCGGGCCGGCAGCCAGGCGGTCTTGTAGTAATCCAGCCGGTCCAGGAACTCGTCCCCTACCATCTTCAGAGCCTTTCTGAAGCCCTCCTGAAACACACACACATTCTTTCATAACGCAGCCATATATAGAGATAGCATACAATGTTAAGAGTAAATAATATTCTGAATGATGAGGTGTTTGTACTTTAACCTGTATGGACATCAGGTTTTTGTAAAAGAAAATTGTTACAGCAGAACCTGTTCATCCGAATCTAATTCGTTCCGGGACCTACTTTGTATGTTAAAATATTCATATGTTGGTTCAAATATTCCCATAAGAGTACACTGTAATTCGTATAATTTGTTCCACAGCCCAAAAACCTGATTACTCCTTAATAAATACTGCAGATAATTACACATACCAATAAATCAAATGCATTTTATAAGAAAGATGTAAAACATAAATGATTATTAAAAAATAATCAATAAAAGGGGTATCAAATATTTAATCGAATTTCACTTTGGATGTTGGAAAATTTGTATGTTTATGCAAACAGGAAAACAAAGGGGTAAAATACAACAATTGTGAAAAGAAACCCTCAGCATAGGTTCTACTGTATATGATAGCCATGAAGTCATGGTTCAAAATCCTTTATTAAATATATTTAGTGTCTATCAAACAGTGCCTTTCACTAGACTGGGGAGCTATATCTGATAAAATAAGGGGTGAATATATCTTTTCTAACCATCTATCCACTGATCCCTTAAGCCCTTCTTCATCAGCTTCCAATCATAATCTGCACAAATCCTGCCCTGACTTTGGTCTCTAAGGGCCTCATGAACAGAAACCCAAGAGAGCTTGATGGGGAAAAAAAGAAGCCCCCCAAAAAAAGGAAGAAACACATTCACACATACTACATCGTAGAGAGGTCTAATCTGTATGCATCAGAATGAAGAAGCGACAGTGGCCCTGGGTTTCAGTTGGATGGATGGCAGAGATGAAAATCCATTAGGTTTTTCTATTATTACAAAAAGTTGCTGTTGAGAGTTCAACAGGTCAGTCTAACATAAATGTTTCTCAGTTTCCTGCAGCTCAGAGATGGCTTCCCTGAAGCGTCAGTTGGTGTGGAAATTGAAAGACTGTGGCAAGACGAGAATAATAATCACATGGGCTGAAAAGTGGAGAGAGAAACAAAAAACAAATAGGCTGCTGGTCCCCCGAGATCTGCTACAAGAGAAAAGAAATGTTACACAAAGTCAACATATATGCAGAGCTGAGCCACAGCTGTCTCATGAGAGTCTCCAAAGCAGGTGTCTTTACCCTACATGCATTGCTAATGCACACAAACAAAAAGTCAGTATTTCCTTTCAGAAACTCTGCTTTTTCTGGAAGTCTCTAAAAGTAAACCCTGGACACCGATTGCATCTGCTTTCTTAGTATAACTTCTTTTCTTCTTTTGTTTCGCTACGGCTTGCCGATTGTGAGCGATTGCCTTCAGAGGAGATTTCTCTCAGAGAGCCCCCCTGTGGAAAAGCTATCAAATATCAAGGTGGCAAATTAAAAGGGGCTTCACGCAGCTCAAGTCACATTTCATGTAGAACTCGGGTCGTCTATTTGAAATGCTTAAGGACATCAGTTAGATGCACTTTGCTTCCGAGCAAATCAAAAGAGACAAATCATTTAGATGTACGAGTGTGGGGAGATTTTTGCTGGTTTAAAGCTTCCTTTCATGCATTGACAAACCTAATCTCTGTTCATCTACTTTATGTATTCAGATTCTTCCATCAAATCCTCCCGTCATGCCTCAAATTGCTTGGATATAATGCGCTGTAGCATGAATTACAAAGTATGGATATCAAGGTATGCAAATTGGTCCCCTCCTCTATGTCCATCGTCATTCCACTGCTGGAGCGTGCAACTACCTGTTGACTTTCTTCAATCACAGGGAGATGCACAGTTGAGTTGAGTGACGCTTAGAGCCAACATGGTGCGCAAAAGTGTAGATGCATGAAAGTGGAGTCATGTTGTTAACTGAAGCTCCAGCTGTGATGCTGAAGACTGAATAAAGGTTTGAGACTTTCTGCTGCTTTAATGTTCCCTGTTATTGATCGGCAGACCTTCAGCATAGCTGAAATCACTGTTACTGTAGTTACTTGAGCGGTGATTTTGTAAATGCCTCCTGGGTATTGAAATCTGTATGTCAGTGCAGAGTAACTGGAAATGCTTTAATAAGCCATGACTTGACATGGAGTGTGAATGTGCAGATCTGATTAATAATCTATGTTGCTTTCAGTCATTTGTAAAAGGAACAGGAACATGTGTGACTGAGAGCAGCTTTGCTGGGAATCTTTGCTGGGAGGTGTACTAAACTTTATCCTTTTGTGATTTTATAAAATAATGTACCGAACATATTCAAGATTGATTTAATCCCTAAATACACCTTGGCCCAATGAGAGAAAAGCTCATTTCTAACAATTTTAGTGAAGTTCACATGGATTTAAACTTCATGTGCATTCTAAAAATTCAGTTCGGTCAGACTAGTTCAGTTATTTGTAGTTTTCTAATAGCATGTAAGCATACTTGCTATTTATTAACATTACATAACGACAGGTTGTGAATCTGAATTCCTCCATCCATCCATTTCTATCTATCCCCACTTATTTTAAGTATGGTTGCTAAACTAGAAAGAATTCTATTGTGAACTGAATAAAAACAATTAACCATTCCCCAATAGCTTTACTCCTAATTTCTTAATCAAGCAACAAAGGACGTGATGATAATGTTGATGAACCTTATCAGACAGCCATGGTGTGGGCTGCCTGTTTGGCTTTTCTCAAGCAGAAGACTTAAGCTAGTGCCATAATAGTCAATAATGGACAAATTAATCCAACAAAAATACCAAACCTGCTTCTCTGATTACTGCAAGGGCTGGAAATTGTGGGAGTGGAGCTGTAAAATGCATAAAACGTTTCTAGATCGAACAATGGCACTGCTTGGCACACGGTGTCACTTAGACCAGCTATGGCTCACACTGGAGAAAAACCTAAATATTTACAACTCCAAATGAGAAAGAAGTAATTAGAATATTAGTTTAGGGAAAACTTCTCATCGCTGATGCACACAGATGAGGTACAACCCCACGATGCATGTGTGGGTAAACAGCACATGCTCTCACCTCAGTATCCTGACTCTTGCTGTTCCAGCGTGGATTCAGGTGGCCAACACGTGCGCTCAGAGTGGTGGAGACGGCGTAACGAGCCTCGCCGTCACACTGTGAGATGCCGTTGTCGACAGCATCCACCTCCTCCACAAAGTTCTCGTACAGCTACAAACGGTTGAAATTAATGTGATCATTTCACAAAGCTCTAATGATGGGAGGATAAAAAGTTTACATTCATTTTGAACATGAAGTCAACGTTTTAGTCACAGGCAGGACTTTTGTGGGAAGATAAATGTGAAGTCATCACAACGCAGCAATGAAAAGGTTAGAGGAACATTAAAAAAAAGAGATGCAACTTCACAGTTAGCACAAAAATAAAATATGAAAAAAAGGCAAAGGGAAGCAGAAGTATATTTAGTGCTGAAAGAGCGACTCCCCGGCCCATAGCAGGGTCAATCACCAAAGAGCTGACATTTTACTAACTTGCAAGTGGAACTAAGCTTTAGGCAAAAATAGAGATTCGCTTTGTCTGAACTAGCTGAGGAAAAGTCGCGCACATCTAAAATAAAAATAAAACCCCTGCCGTGAGTAATAGGATTACTTTGGGTTTAAAGAAACTGACACATCAAACAGCGACGATGATGGGCACTAATATTTATGTTGACCAAATGTTTATCTGGCTTAAAATGTCTGCCAAGGCCTCCTGTTGGCTGAGCTGTCGCTAAAAGCAAGAAACACTTTGAATCATCCAACTCAACTGTCTGATGCAGGGATATCACAAGAAAATAAGAAACACAACAGCAACTCTTTCTTCACCTCTAACATCATATGCTCCAATAGGATTTTGGCTTCCACTAACTGAGGTGAATATTTATGTAGAGCCTTAAAAAATCATTAATGCAGTTTCAGTGAAAATGAGTGGTACGGAACGTTGTACCACAAATCCACAATCTTCCTCCTCTCACCTTGTCATAGAGCGCCTCCAGCTGCCTGTCGTCCTCCTTTTTTTGGGTCAGCTGGGCCAGCAGACGACGGCCGAAGTGGAGGTAGACCAGGCCGGCAGAGCTGAGTTTGGTCACCCAGGGCTTCTGTGGACACAGGCTGTGGAAAGTCTCCACAAAAGTCCTAAAGAGACAGAGTGCAGCCCACTTACTGGTTGTAGTAGAAATACAAATACTCTTCTGTGACTATTAAGTTAAGTTTTCTACATTAAGTTCTCTGTAGCCCAACGAGAAAACTGGTCTGATCTGAAACCAGTTCCTCATGATCAACCTAAGCAGTTTGTCAATAATATGTGTGAACTTGGGAAAAAAAACAAAAAAACAAACACATTTTGACTACATAAATAAGACTAATATGGTCCTTATCTCAGCATATCAGTGCCAAACTAGAATATTTGTTAATCTCACCAGTGGCGGTAAATAAGCATCCAAATCTTATAACCAACAGAGGCAATTAACTAATATCTGTCCACAAAATTGTTTATTACAGCACAGCAATGTTTAGTCAACTTCATCTGTAACCTCACTAGTGATCAAGTTTCAACTTCAGCAGTTTTCTTTCTCTCTAGAATCATCTTAAAGCTGGAGATACTGCATGGTGCACAGGGCCCCTGAACGTGCACAGATTTTCTTTAATAGAAATATCAATACTAATGGACTCATACATATTCTTTTTCTCAGGTGTGTCTGTCAGCAGGAGGACACGTCAGCAGGAGCTCTCTCCTAAAACACGTGACGGGTTGGGTGGGCTCCAGCACCCAGTTGCTGATGGTCATTTAATTCAGTGGTAATTAGGCTCGTCGGGCCACAGCACAGCAGAGAAGCGAATGAATGAGTGACATGCAGCAGAAGTGGGGGGTGGTCACAGCCACTAAAGGACTAATTGGTTGAGCTGTGGTGCTACTCTGCTGATTATCAGGACATGGGAGTGGGAAAAAAAAAAATGCCAGACACGAATAGAGGAAGATGAGCATATTCCTCTAAGAAAAACCCGGTCTGCCTGTGTAAAATCAAGGATGGGTCAAACGTCCAGCATTTACCAAACTGAATAAGAAAGAAGAAGGGAACTGTTTAAGAAGAAATGTGTTTCGTATAAACATCATCTACATACGCATGTTCCTCAGTTTGTTAGAAGTAAATCTAAATCTTCTCTTCCTCCTGAGCTCCGGGCACATGCATCAGTTCATGAAGTTGCCACAACATCACAACCAACTGCACAAAATTGGGCCTTCGCCTCATTTATGCTGCCATAGCAACTGTGACCCATCAGGGCTTAGGGTATCTGGCACTGGGCCACTGACAGCAGGTCCTGTTGATGATGGGTGATAACCTTGCTGATGTCAACAGTCTCAATGACTTAAAAGCGGGGATGTCTGAGGCCGGGTCAAGACTTCAGGCTCTGTGGTGTTTCCCCAAGTTGAATCACCGATTTTGTCATGCTGCTGGTGGTACTGGGGGTGCATTTTGATAACTAATATGTAAAGCATCAAATAACACCCATTAGAGCCAGGACCAATAGCCTCCCAGTAAAACAGTGTATTTTACCAAAGTTATTTGCTTCACCACTCAACAGTTTAATCCACCTGGCGGTTGCATTAAGATATCCCATAGAACCTGAAGGTAAAATACCTTTGACTTACTTAATTAAAATTCCACACATTGGAGAAGCACTGATTTAATAATAAATATCTTTAACTTTTGTGAGTAGTGTATGTATGAAAGAGCATGTGTGAATTGGGCAATGGTCCCTGTCCAACAATAAACCCACTAACACTGAAGGTATGGCACCACCTAAAGAAACACAATTTAAAAAATACAAACTTCTAAATCGTTACCTTACTCTTTTTTTTAGTGCTGTGCAACCAGTTTTTTTCTGGCTGTTTGACTTAAACAACCATGTGAAATTCCTTCTGAAATGCAGCAGGCATGAAAGGAAAAACAAAGTAAGTGTTGTTTCTGGCCTAAAAAAGGTGTCAAACCCTCTGCTGCACTTGCTCTTGATGTTTGCACTTTTTGGAGAATACTTGTTTGCTCTCTTGCAGAGATTAGTCAGATTTTTCATTACTTCCTTATCTGTTTGTAGCAGAAGGCAGCGTGGAGTTCTCTGCATCACAAAACATCATAATTACAAGCAGGACAACCAGCTGTGCAACGGTAACAAGAGCAGCCTATTTGGATTTCATTTCCTAAATGTTGTTCAACAGCTTAATTTCATTTCACTGCATCTATGCTGCCACGGCTGAGTTTGTCTGACTTGTTCTTGCATCCCCTCATCACCCCACCTCAGCAAATGTGAGTGACAACCACATTCTTCTGTGGCCCCCCAACGGTGTTGTGGCAGCTTCTGCGCCTCGTGCACTAGCAACAGGGGGGCATTCAAATGAAGGAGTGCCAATTATCACTAACCACCTGCTAAGAAGAGAGTTCTGACATATCTTTATTGCTGTGGTCACAAAAGCCATTTCTGATTATCATCAGGACATTAAACTGACATGACACCTGGAATGGGATGAGTATACAATGTGATGCAGCCTCCAGCGCAGCCATTTGGAAGAAAGGTTTGGAGGGAATCGTGGAGCCCATTCCTGTGCGATTCATGTAGTCCGGATGCTTCAACGGTGCCAGAACAAAAACCACAGGGAAATTTACTCTCTCATTCTTTCACACTAGTTAATGAAAATATCTCTTATGATCATATCTCCAGGTTATTAAAACTATATTGGCACTTCTGTATCGTGATGCTGTTACCAAAAGAAAAAGCCATGTTTAATAGATGAGTTTAATAAGGATGCCTGGCTGAGAGACGTGGCACAGGGACACATCTGAATGGAATAAGCCTATTAGTGATATGAAGTTCCACCTTTGTCTGGAAGCTATCTGTCAAATGGTTTAACCTGCAAGTGGAAAATTGAGCTAATTAACAATGTTTTCACCCTACCCTAACAGGAACAAAAAAACAACTGGTGCAATTTCCACTATCACCAAGTTTGATCATCAACAGGTTTATAACATGACAGGATATAAAAAGGAGCAGGAAAGAGTCTGTTAGAGTTAAAGATGAGGAGGAGGTTAAACAACAACTTAAACAAATACTTTAATAGCTTAAGAAAATACTTCTCATAGAAAATCTTCAAAGAATTTGGGGCTTTACTAATATATGCAAATCACTTTAATATTATTAGAAAATCCAGCAGGCACCAGTAATGCTAAACCATATATTCACATTTTCACGCAGCATATGCTAAATAAGCTCCTCCTTTGTGAAAGTGCTTGGCAATTCAAATATCTTAAAACGTGTTTGCAGGCTTACAGCACTGGTTCAGTTCCTGATTGCTTTCAGACTGGTGCAAGTTGCAGTCACTAAACTCAAAAGAAGAAGTTTTTATTTTTTTCCCAGACCAATGAAATTAGAGGTGCTGCCATTTTAGTTTTTAAGTTAATCATCATTAAAATCTCCCTTTTAGCCAAAACCCTTTTACATAATTACATGAGAAGCAAACAAAAAAAAGTCTAGATAAACAACTGATACAATCATCTTCTTTACCTGCTTCGCTGTTGATTGTTCAGGCTTGCAGAGAGCAGAAGACTAGCTCTGCTGACACTGAGCCAGCACTGGTGTGCAGCCTGGACAGATTACCAATCCATCACAGGGTTTACACAGAGAGACACACAATCTGTCATTCTCACTCTCATACTTTTACTTACAGCCAAGAGCTGAATACTGGAAGTAGATATCTCTCAAAGAAAATGCCCAGAATGAATAATAAAACTGCTTTGAAGTTAATACTATTTAAAGGGGGGTAAAAAAAGAATAAAAACACCATAATCCAACGCACTGTATTAAACACGTGGCACAATTACCACAGCCTATAATGAATGATAAAATATATATTCCTCAGTATCTGTTCCCTCTACATCAAATTTGTATAATTTCAAAATAAATAAACATAGCAATAGAGGTCAGCCTGAAGTATACCTCTGATGATGGTCATAGCGATGCCTCTTTGGGTCAAACTCTCCTCCAACATCGACAACAATGTCACATTCTGCCAAAACTGCTGAGTCCCTGGTCCGAACGATCTCTGCATTCTGAGAAAAGAGCAGAAAGACTCAGATATACTTTGAGAGAATAAGAAATTAATGAATACCAATGAACAAAATTCACAAAGTTTGTTGTGTTATTCAAGACAATTACCTATAAGAGGGGAGTGTCAAAACTTTAAAGCTTCCCTCAGTTTTTAAGAGTGCATTCTTTTAAATATGAAGCTGTTGTGTGCAATGCATCAGTGACTCTGTTATTACTAAAATCCTTTTATGTTATTAGCCAAATGGGTTGAACTTCTTGAAAATGTATAACGTTGCAATGCTTTCAGACTGAATTATTACATTAGAATAATGTGGCATTAATTCCTAATTAATTAAAAGCAATTTCAAGTTTAAGTTGCACTAACATTAAAGGAAGTTTAAGTCACAGTTTAATCCCAAAATAGGTCATAATAGAGTTGAAAACCATCTTACCCCCAAAAATAATACACGTGACATATTTCATCTACTTAGGATATTAATTTATCTTTACAACAGCGCCTCCTTTTGGTATCTTGTAGTATTACATTGTAATAATTTCAGGAAGACTTGTTAGGAATCTCAAACGGAATGAAAGCTTAACTAAAACTGCACTGTATGACTCCGTTGCAGTATTTCAGTTGCAGTAACAGATGAAAAGACAGATTGGCTTAAAACATTCACATTCGAGGGTGCAATGTACCTCAACGCTTAACAAAACCCCGTGTATATGTGGTACTCACTGAATACTCGGGTAACTGCCGGAGGAAGAAACAGGCCAGGACTTCGTCGCAGTGAAAAGTCCCGTTATGCGTTCCAATCTTTTTCACGGTCATGTTTTCAGCGCGGGCTCTCTTCGGTCCACTTGACATGTATCGCTGTTGTTTACAACTGACTTCCACCGAAAGTGAGGAACCGCAACTAGTCTGTGGACACAATCTGCGCAAAGTACTAACACGTTTACTGGTGGAGGGTGAGGAAGTTAGTTTAGATATGTTGACAGCAACCGAACGTAAACGCAGCATTCATACAATTATCCGCACAAAAAACGCGTGCGACGGAAACATTTGGCAGCCGGACCGGATATGAGCCCACTGTTACATGAAGTAAAATGAGACACGCAAAGCTTTTAACTTTTTGTTTAGAACGTTTGTTTAAATCTATTTTAGATTAATCCAAGTAATTATCATATTCGTGGTATAGACAAGTAACTGAACAAAAAATAATTATGATTCTGGACATAAATGTCAGAATGCAATCTAATGTTATCTGCTATTAAGCGACAGCAGAGGGCGCTGCAAACAACACTGGGCTTTTCTTTTTCATGTTGTGTAGGAGCAAACCTATAAACATTAGATTAATAATTTTTATGAAACAGGAAATATTGTTCACAATGTTGGTTCAAGTTCCAGCTGGGGCTTTTCTGTTTTGAGTTTGCATGTTCTCTGTGGGTATTTGGCTCAAACGTCCTCCCACATGCACCTGAGGTTGATAACTGATTCTATAATGACTCAAAGAGCAAGTGGATCATTGTTTGTCTGTATGTAGTCCTGAGATGTACTGAGCATCTTTCCATGCTGTACCATGCCTCTCATCCAATGAGAGTGGGGATGCTATAACACTAATTTTGAATATTCAAAAAGTCTTCATGGCCCTTACAAGCTTTGTGATCATTTAAATTGCCTTCTGCTCCAAAGCCTGGTTGTAAACATGCCACTTTTAAATACTTCCTAGATTTTTTAGTATGTGGTGTTAAAAATTATTTGGGATATATAAGAGCTTTAGTAGAATGAATTTGATCTATGGCTCTTTTAATAAACACAAATCAACTAAAATCAGGTTAGAGTAAAACACATGGACAAAAAAGACCAACTGAGGATAGAAAATGCAGTAAATGTGAGATAAATTATGTTATATATACTTAATTTTGTATTTTTTAAGGTGTTTGATTGGAAAAACTGCATATGTAAAATTAAAGCTGCAGCACAATGAACACTCCAAACGTATTTTCAAAAGACTAAATAATTTTTCCTCTTAATAAAAATAGACTTGATGCACAAAATTAACAAACAAATTCTTAAACCTTGTGTTGGATTTGCTTAATTTATTAATCTGTATGTGGGTTATTTTGTGAATAATTATAATTATATACACAGACTGAATAGGGTTTGAAAGGAGTAAATAGATGTGTCCGTCTGGCTCAGTTTTCATCCCAAATTACCTTCTCGCGGCATTCTCTTCAAGGTTTATTGACGAAATAATTAGCCAGATGGGGTCCCCGTAGTAGAAAGGCTAAGGTGGTTACAGCGTGCTGCTGTGCGGAACAAACACCTCATCTTTCTTATTTACAAACCGAATTACCAGTGGGCAGCATCTTGTTATCCAATCCCTGCAGAAAGTTTTTTTTAAACCAGTTTCATTCGCTGATTCGATCCGTTTTAATATCATATCAGGTGTTTACTACCGCTGCTCGCATGTCACATGGGAGAGAGTCCGAGGCTGAGGCATAACATGTCCAGTTTCCGTAGATGAGATGAAGATTTAGTTTATTACAGCCAGGGGGGGCTACTGGTAAGACGTTTAACAGCTCTGTTCTATTGCAAGTAACCAGTTCACCGGGCACTTTGACAAGTCTTTATTTTAGCCTAATTAAATCGATAAACATTGATTTGTGTGGGTAGAGTCCATTTGCCTGAGAGGTGTGAGTGTCTTATAAAAGACTGTCAAAAGTAAACTTGTGGGGAAAATCTACGTACATAATGTAAAACCCCAAAGTCTTGATGTTTGTTTTTTAAACAAGTAAGGTAAATAAGAATTTATAGTGATAATAGTAAAAATAATGACAACAAGAAGTTGTAATTTGCCTTAAACAGTGTTTTATTTGTTTGTATTTGTCTCTCTGGGCCAGAGCAAACTAAATAAAATTCTTGAATGAATAGATTAATGAATGGATTACAATAAAAATAGATTATTTTGCAAGAAATTATCATGAAGTTGAAATTCCACTCCTGAAAAAATGTTTTTACAAGACCTATTTTTAAGCCGTAATAGTATTAGAAAACCAGCACCAACTATATAGAGCTATATAATCTTTTTATAACAGGTAAGATATTCCATTTAAAACATTAGTAGGAATACTAGTTTTTTTAAAATCTTTCTTTAACATAATCACATCTTCCCATTGTTTAAATGAGCTGATAAATGTGGTTCATTTTGCACCGTCCATAATGTCCATGCAGCTCAGGATCAGCACCATGGACAGTTCACTGCAGAGACACAAGAGGCCTCGCTGTGATGGAGGTGAAATCAATGCTAGCTCCTCCACTATGAGAAAGCAGAAACCTTTTTGTTAACATAATGTGGAACATTTTGAACTGTTAGGGTTAGGGTTATTTAGACTTAGACCGTAGGTGTGAGAGTTAGGCTTTAGTGTTTGACTCGTGTCAACAACTTGCCCCACAGAATAATAGACATGTTGGACTGCTTCTTCTGGATCGATGACTTGAGTGTGACTAAAGCAAGAAGTAAAACATATTTGGGGTCTTGTGCAAAAGTGACCTATTGCACATTTCACCTGCACTCGGTGGTTGAAATAATTACTACGATAATTATTTGAATTATTATAATTTTTATGTGTTTTAGTAGTTGATGCAACATTTGGCTAAACTCATCCAAATTAAACCACAACTCTACACATCAGCCCCTAAACTTGTTTCACTGTCCAAATATTTATGGACAACCAAATATCTGTAATACAAATATTTGCATAGAATAAACAAAACAACATATGAATGTAACCCAAGAAAAAAAAACTGTGTGCCTCTTAATTAGATATGAAAAAGTTTTACTTTTTTAATCATATATTATAACTAAACCACAGTGAAATTGGTCCCTGTCTCCCTTGTCATTTACATCTAAATAATCTCAATATCAATTCCATCACATATCACGTATCATGCCAGAAAAAAACTGTCCCTCAGCTGAATTAATTACTCTTAATATTGCTAGTATGAGATCTGGTGAAGTAGGCAATTAGCATAACTCTGTATAATTAGACACTGGTGTTCTTCCAGAATATTTATGATGGAAACAATGGCATGCAGAATATATTAGTCAAATCTTGAATTTCCGCATGTTTTATTTCTATACATGACAGACCAACCACAGAAGAAGAAAATCATAAATATTTTTAATATTTATAATTGAAGGCAAAGAAAATACATGTGATGGATGATAATCAGATGATAACACTGCTGAAAAAGATGAAAAGATAGATCCAATTTTATTTCCAAACAACAACCACGTGGTCCTAGATTTACACAAAATTTGAAATTTGTTCATATGAGGACAAAGGTTACTACTGTCGGCCGCCGATGTCCATTGTTTACAGAATGCATGGACGTTGACTTGAATACAAGGGGAAATTAAGGCCATACATTTGGGTTCAGGTTTCCCAGGTATACTTGAAAAGCTGGTCATTTTTTTTACATTTTGACAGGCATTTGAAAGCCAAATAACTATGAGACTTAACCTGACAAAAAAAATATCAGAGAGAAAGTTTGAAACATAGACATCAGAGGGTGCCCCGATTTGTTTTGTTTTTCCTTTTCACTGCAGATATCAAAGCACCCTCTGCATCATCTCCCAAGGGTTGAATGAGTCACAGTCACAAGCAAAATGAAATGAAAAAACCTTGGTTAATGTCAATCCATAGTCACTGCCTCCTGCACGGATGACCAGACAGCACCGACTGCACTGACGGAACAGACTGCCCGCCTGTTCCCCATTGGCTCCCCTCAAACCATGAGACACTGTTATGGGTGGCTACCGATAAACGTCACACTGCCATGGTTTTTTTTCTCTTCTGCTTCCAGTTTTACAGGCAGCATTGATGGGAAATGAACCTGCTCTGGCTTGCCTTAAAAGGAAGAGTCTTTTTTTTTTGCGACAGGGTCAGTGGACATCACATCCTCCTTGTTGTAGCACAGCAGTGGCTGATGTTAACAGCTTGTTTTTGCCAAGGACTTTTGTGTAAAATTTTAAAAGGAGTATCGTAGTTATACAAATGACTACCATCCCCATTTTCATTAACTGACATGATTAATTATCCCTCAAACGAAGACACACAGGATGATGCAAATTTAAAATAAACCATACGGAGGAATATTTAAAATTGTAGCCTATATAATGATTAATTTGTTGAGCCTGTCTCTTCAGGCTCTTCACAAGCATTATGCTTTATAATACAATTTAATGGCATGTATTATAGTAAAAATATATTTTAAAAAAGTACATAGCATGGAGTAGTCTAATTGTATCATAATTAGGACTTGCAGATGTGTTGATTGTGAGACTTTGCTTTAATCTACCCTGAAGGTTTCGCACATCTCATGTATTGTTAAAAGGGTATTTATCATTACAGCTGATGTCCTGTGCCCTCAGAAATAAAATTAATTAACACAGACTGTTTCGCCACAATCTAATGAGATACAAACCAGTCTCCCTTTAGCCAAAAAGAAAATATCCTCCCCCAAGAAACAGAAAATAAATATAATACAATTAATAACACCTCCTCTGGACCAGCTGGTGAACTCTACACTCAAGGGTATTTGGGAAGTGTGGTTAATCCAATGATAATCTTGAGCATGGTTTACACATATTATCTCTTTAATTGCTATCTGTGCTGTGCAATTATACCATCACCAATTACATGGGTGTAGTTTACTTGCCTGTCTAAGCAGTTAGTTCGCCCTAATAGATGCCCTTTATCTACACAAGCAAGTAAAGCGACCAAAAGTTATCCGAATAGATTTTCCACTGGCATAATGAATTAATTATATGCTCAGAAGTGGAGTGGTGCAGGACAACGCTGATCTGTGCTATATAGAGGTTAGTGGGGAGAAATGGGCAACTCCAAGATGGAGGGGGACTGAGGATTGGAGGTGATGTAGATGATGAAGGTGGATGTGAGAGCGTCCGCATCCATTAGAATGCAGAACGTGTTCTCCAGCGTGAGTGAGTCACCGCTGCTGCTATCC